GATTCCTGGTTCTGGAGAGGTACAGATCCTGGATGGAGGGCAGGGGGGCGCCGATGATCCTTTCTGCTCCACTGCAGTCTGCGCCTGGCTGCAGCCACCAAACAGGGCAGGACTGCAGGACTGCAGGACTGCAGTCACTGAGACTGTCCTGACTCAATGACTGCAGTGTAGAACTGGATCAGCAGCTCCTGTGGAAGACTGTAGTCCCCCAGTTGTCTCAGGAAGTACATCCTCTGCTGGGAACATGTGGATTATTATGTAGTATTAAAAAGTATAATCAGTTAATGCTAGCTTAAATAAATAATAATTTGATAAAGAAGTGTTTTACTGGTGGATAAATGGACACGCTGTCACTATGTGTCACATCTGGACAGATGTGTTTACAGGCAGCATTTTAATCATGAGTTTAAAGGCTGTCGGCTGCAGCCATTGCTCTAAAACTAACAATGTCTCGGTGCTGGTTCTTACACTTTGAGCTGCTTCAAGCTTTGAAAGCATTTTTGTTCACTGATCCACGAGCTAGCAGGAAAGGGAAACGTAGTGAGGAAATGGATCCACAAAGCAGGAACTCCAGCAACACTTGAGGGAAGATGAACAACTTTAATAATGGACCAAAGCGTTTCAGCTTGTGGCCTTCATCAGGGTCACAGTAAAACATAGTAGAACATCGTAGAACATTGCTTAAATACAAGACAGGAAACAGAAAACAATCAAATTAACCAATCAGAACTTCATAGATAGATCAGCTGACATATTGGTTAACTGGTTAAGTCACGCCCAAGTAAATACTGGACTAGATCATTAATGATGAGGACTGGGGGGAGGAGACATAACCCCCACCTGTCTGAAAATAACACATGCATGAATTACATAAGAAGGGCTCCCTAGAAGGCTATAAATATACAAAAAGAAAGAATGAAATCGTCATTTTAAATGTCAGAAATAAAAGTCAGATTCACTTATTTCTCTTTCAAATTGTGTTTAAAAATGATTCTGAAAATCTG